CAACAACTGCTCCAATTGTTCGGGGTCTACTTGATTGACCTGCTGCTGAAACAGATTTTGTTGAACATTCTGAGTATTGTACTGGTGTAAGTTTGGTGGAACCTGTTGACCCGTAGATGCACTCCCACCTTGCTGTGCTGCCCCACCTGCATTGGATGAGGATGACCTCTGCCCTTGCTTTGCCAGGGTAGTCATGGTAGCCATCTCCTGGGCGCCAGCTCGAGTCATGGTAGCTAATTGACCTACTGGGTTTTCAGGTGATTCAGATGATGAGGTCCAAGTTGAGTTCGGCCCATCAATCTTGAATGGAGTGGCAGGCACGTCGCGCTTCATGTTTTTACACCACGAAGAACTTGTAGTGCAAGAGCCCCTATGCTTCACATGCAGGAACTCAGTGGCACGCGATACACGCGACAATCCACCCAAGCCACAATATGCGATCCAAAAGAACTGTGCTGGACGCGCTAAGCGCGAATTTCCAAGGTCACGCAAAAAAAAATAATGGACGTCAAAGTCAGTGCAAGGCGCAAAATGCAACCAGTGAGCTCAATAGCAAAATGCCAGAAAAAACTAGGTGAAAACTTGTGGCAAAATGCCAATCCAGTGAAACTGCAGCAAAATGCCGATAGGACAGGTGAAATCTTTTGACAAATATCAGACCTGTAGAAAACGAACCTTGTGATGACTACTGGAACACTATCGATATGGCCCCCTTTGCAACACTATCGCAAACTCTTCAGTGTCGATGGAAGTGGAAAGTCTCCTACTTCACGGTCAGCCAAAAATCGAACTAGTGGATCCAATGACTGTTGGGCGCCAAACCGTGCCTTAATGCACTTAACACGGTTGCCACGGGCCCGACCAGATTGCAGGGATAGACACTCGTCTAATATCTCCTGCTGGTCGTCACAGAAAACGCAAGCTCCTGTCTTTTTCAAAACAATTGCTTTTGCTCCTGTGTCACCAGTTATTGATGGTCCTTGTTCCTGGTCTGATAATAACTTCGTCCGCGTGATGTGGATGCCGACAAATGGCCTGAGAAGTTTCTTTTCGATTTCACGGCAGGTCCTGAGGGTCTTCTCTTGGGTCGTGGTGTTTGAGGAGAAACTGCAAATAGTGAGATCGTATCCCCAACGCTGTATATCCTGCAAATGCCGCACAGTTACTTCACTCACCGTCTGGTTAAACTCGATGGTGTGGTGGTAGTCTAACGCCACAAGAGGGCGTTCCTGCTCCACAGGAGCAGAAGCCTTTGCTGTGCCCGACGCAAGAGCAACGCGAGCACGGCACACTCAGCCAGCTTTTGCTCGTAGTATGGTCGATGCACGTCACCGGGCTTTAAGAAGTAGAATCTGCTATGAGACTGTTCCCGCAAGATTCGATCTTCGTACCCTTCGCCACCTTTTGCAACCAGCAATGCGGTCTTATCGATAATTCCGCGATGGGATTCTGAAGGCACAATCACACTCGGAGGTGACGATGAAGTAGCTGTAGCCCCTCCAGCCTCGGGCTCCTCTTCAGTTGTTGACGGCCTCTTTGATCTCTTTGAAGGTGGTCTCCCTGCTGCCACTTTCTTTGCCGCTCCACGTCTTTCAACCGGCGACCTACTGCGTGTTCTTGGTGTCACCCTTTTTCCAGACGCACTCGGAGATACGGAAACAGCAGTCGATGTAACCCTTGGGCTCCTTGACACACTAGAAGATCTTGGCACTGGCACTCCAGCAGCAGGTGGCGCCTTTGGAACAGGCGCAGCAGGCTGACTGGTAATCTGCAAAGCCCTTGAAACAGGAGGAGGCCCTTTTGGCTCAGGTACACTAGAAGACTTCGGGGCAGCTGGAGGCGACTTGGGAGCTGACCTACTCCTTCTAGGTACAGGGATCGTCCTTCCTGCCTTCGGTACTGTAGCAACTGATGTAGAAACCACCGTCGATTCGCGCTCAGCGCGAGAAATTGATTCGCGCTCCGCGCGAGCAGTAGCTTCAATATCTGCTGCACTGTCGGGTACCCAGACCCAGCGCCACGAACCGCCAGCTTCTGCTGGTGGAGGCTCTTCCACTGATGGTGGAGGCCCAGGTGGTGGTATTGGACGCCTTGATAATCCTGGGGGTGGCTCTCTAGCCAATTCCTCAGCCGAAGCAAAATCTATTGCCGAAGCTGTGCCCCTGTCAAAGCGGGCAAGCTGCGAGGCCCTCCACAGGTTTCCTCCTCTAGCACCTCTGGGTTTCTTTGCCTTTCCACCCTGTGAAGACATACACAAAGATTGTATCCAGCTAAGCTCACTAGGAATGCAATCGCGCAAGCGCGAGGAAGAGAGAATGCAAATCGCTCAATAGAGGAAAACAAAAGCTTGATGAAATACGCAATGCCCTCTAAGAGTTCAATGATCTCACAGTTGAATGATTAGAGCCGGATGCGGCTGATAACCAGTAAAATCGGTCACAACCAGTATATTCGCGAAGTTGATAACCAATAGGGGGATGCCACAAACCAGTGATTAGCGAAGTTTAATGGCAATGTCGTTGTATGTTCAAGATACCAATGCAAATGCAAATGCAGCCCAGTGATTGCGAAGGCTAGCACACTTTCATGCGGGCATCTTGAGCCAAACATCGTTGGCCAAGTCTTGAGTTTTCATCCCGGATTTCAGGATAAAAGAACATGTTATCATTGACAGATAACCTATTGATTCGTCTATTCCGTGCTGATACCAAGTGACATCATGTACACTTTACAGTCATTGGATACAACATCATAGATACTCATGCAAAGGTGAGGAGTTGATCGAGTATTTTCATCTATTAGATAGATTAGATAGATTAGATAGATTAGATAGATTAGATAGATTAGATAATATTAGATAGATTTGATAGACTAGATAGATTATATAGATAGATTAGATAGATTAGATTAGATTAGATTAGATAGATTAGATTAGATTAGATTAGATTAGATTAGATGAGATGAGATGAGATTAGATAGATAGATAGATAGATATGCAAAGTCAACCCCAATCGAGAGTTATCCTTGAAATATCGTGCTAAACACATATCTTCACACAAAACTTCACAAAAGAATGTGGTTTTGACCATGGTTCGCATGCGCCATGGTCAAAAGTTGGATGATGTCTGAGAAAACTCATGAATCATACCTAGTCCCTGGAGGATGGGAACAATCAATCCACTTTCACAGGGATACCAATATACCCATAAATTCTGTTTGGATTATCATTATGGGATGGACGACCATAAGTGATATATCATGCAACTTGACACACAAATAGTGATTGCATTGCTATCATCTTCAATCTCATTGTTGATTCATCCCGGAATCCCTATATTGTACTTATTATTATCCGTATTGTTGGTTAAATCATGTTAAATCCTATTCTCGTCTCGGTGATATCCCCAGAAATACTTATAAACCCCGATAAATTCCTGAAGGAAAGTTCATGCCCATGGCATACAGGGTGAGGACCCCTAGTTATGAGTTGGTTTGTAACCCTCACTACATATCCTCCATAAACTTTAGTTGGCCAAGTTATAAGTCAACTTAGCTATCATAAATCGGCTATAAATCCATTCAAATCCCATTTTTTCGTGGTGAAAAATCACCATTTTGGCGGTCCCCACCTTCCTAGGTAACTTTGGAATACCGAAGTTGCTCCGTCCGGCAAGGCACCAGTGCCAACTTCAAGCGCTTGATCTTTGCAGCGCGTTGCTTGGACTCCTCAGGTGATTTTAGACTGTGAAAAGAAAGGGGATGAAGTAAGGAATAAAAGGATTAAACATCACAATTTTGGATCAACTTGTCTTTTCTTAACCATAAAAAACATGCATGGTGGGAATCTCATGGGGATGTGATCGGGATAACCTGAACATGGTGATTGAAGCGACAAGATAATGTGCGGGTATCAGTCCATCAATCATGGGGATAGATGTAGGATGGGATCAAAGGGTTACACATGGGTGTAAAGTCCATGTTTGGGCAACGATATGATAGTGATGAACCGTGGTATTGGCGGTATTCTATGTTTAGACAAATAGATTTAACTGATTAAACCATGCGTACGTTTGTATGAGAATGGGGTACCCAAAATCAACCCAAGCTCGAAATTTTGAATGGGAAAAACACTGGTTGAGAGCTTCACGAAACACCTCTGTGTGTGCAAATATATGTGAGATTCTTTGGGCCATGTTGGACGTAAGTACGTGTTGGTAGTTGGTACATATTTTAATAATATACATATAATCATAGACATATAATCATATACATGTAATCATATACATATACATATATACATACATATATACCATGAAGCATTTGGGATAATTATGATATCAGGATATACAATGAACTAGGTACATTGCATATACATACGCATAACATTAAATACTATTGACATACATCCAACATCCAAAGGTTTGAACGTTTCCTCAAGGCCGGACCCGCTGTTGCAGGAGACTGACTACCACACCTCCTTTTCGTAGTCTTTCAGGATCTGGGTTTCCTGCTCGAAGAACCTCAAGTGCCAACCGTCCTAAACAATGACCAGTCATGACCAGTCGATCTGTGGCTGCAGGGACTACAAAGTTCCACTACCTCAACCCATGAAAAAGGACGGCATGGCTTAAAAACATTGAACAAACAAAAATTCTTTGGTGAAAATCCTTTGGTGAAAACACTCAACCATGGACCGTGGGACCATGGCTACCCCATGGTACCCCATTCTGGGACCACCATTCCGAGAAACAAGCTCTGACGAGCCCGGTGCTGTTCAACTTCCTTCCTGACAGGCAAAGGCCGTCCATCAAGAAGCACAAAAAAACATATCCTGATGGCATAACTGCCCCAAAAAACGGGAATATAATGGAATATATTGAATATATAAGGCATACACACATATAATAAAATCATATAAACACATGTTGAAGACGCTACCAAAACATCTAGTCTTATTAGTCCTGGCATGTTTATGGCAATCTCACTTTCCACTGTGGGGATCACCGCAATCCCTTGGTGCCCAGAGGCAGCTCGGCTTGGCACATGGCTGCGAGGGTTAAGCGATAGGCCTGGCGACTGTCAATAGGGATCTTTGATGATCTTTGTAGCCAGGTTTAGTTTATTAAAGTTTATCAGTTTGGATCTCAGAGTTCTCTTGTTGGGGGTTGCTGATGGCTTGCTGCAAAAAGCACGGCATCACACAACGGATCTTCGTGGAACGGGAAACCCAGTGCCTCCACCAGACGTTTCAGATGAACCTTCAGCCGTTCGATGTGTTTGGACCACAACCACTGGGCAGCCTGGGCGCCCAAGGCATGGGTGCCAGTTGGGGAAATTGGGAATTACATCGGCCAAACTATGTAGAAGGTGGGCTTATGGATACATATTCCAGCAGTGAAGGCCAAACAAAGACGCTGTCTAGATCTGGGCAGTTTGGAGGGAAAGGTGTTTGGGAGAACGTACATATGTCATCATATGTGCATGTTTCTTAAAATTGTGGTCCCCAAAACCATGTGTTTCACGATTGAACATATAGCGAATTTTGGATGATGTTGGGGTATCCCATTTTAAGAAACCTCATGAACCTCCATATAGAAGTAGTATCAAAATCAATGGACACGGCTAGTGGTAGCAGCACTTTCTCTTGCAAAAAGTATTTTGCTGAGCTCATCACCCATCTCAACAAACCAACAATACATCTACAATCAATCAATATATATATATGTATATGTCAGTTTATATCATCAGTATATTATAAATTATATGTGTTATATTATTATGTTCTGTTATTACAATAATTTACATAACATGTATCTGTACATAATTTATCATAATTTGCATTCAAAGATGTTAGCCAATAACATATCTCCAAGTGCTTGTTACGTTAACATACCCGAATCGAACCCTCTTGGCCTCAGCAGAACTTTGCTGCTGCGCCAGCTGCTTCTCAAGGACCTCCGGTGTCATCAAACATGGCTAGCTGGGAAATCCCCAAACTAAATGGAGTTTTATAGCTGATAAATCTTATCTATAAATGGTGGATCTTCCAGCAATCCATGGTTGATTACTGGAGTGTATCTCTAAATATCTCTAAATTATGGATCCTGCAAGAAATTTCTAGCTTTGTTTTTTGATGGTTTTTGGATGTTTTGGGGGTCTCCAACGGCCCCAACATTGACAAGCCAACCAAGCATTGGTCAAGCCAGGGGGGTGGCCTGTGGCAGCCATGTCACAAGCAACAGCCATGTCAAAAGGGTGTAGAATAGTTTTTGTTTTTTTTTGCCCCAGGTTTTGTTTTTTTTTGGCTTTCTTTCCTGGTACCATTTGCCTTGTATTTGCAACAGTTTGGAACTAGAACCTGTCATTTTGCATGGTATTTGCTACATTTTGGCATGGTCACTTTGCATTTTGCATCGTATTTGCTACATTTGGCCATGCCGGCCTTCCATTTTGTATGGTATTTGTCACATTTTGGCATTTCAACCTCTCATTTGCATGGTATTTGTTACATTTTGGTACTTCAAACGTTCATGTGGGTCTCTTGAGGGTTCTTTAGGCTTTCATTTAGGGTGTCATTTAAGGTTTCATTTAGGGTTTCGTTTAGGGTTTTATTTAGGGATTCATTTGGGGTTTTATTCAGGGTTTCATTTAGGGTTTCATTAAGGGTTTTCATTTAGGGTTTCTTCAGAGTTTCATTTCGTTTTTTTTTTCCGGTTTCATGTAGGGTCTCTTATCGGGATTTCTTATAAGGAGTTCTAAGCTTTCAAATGGGCTTCTTTAGGGTTTCTTTAGGGCTTCTTTAGGGTTTCATTTAGGGTTTCTTTAGGGTTTCTTTAGTGTTTCATTTAAAGGTTTCATTCAGGGTTTCATTTAGGGTTTCATTTAGGGCTTCATTTAGGGTTTCTTTAGGGTTTCAGTTTGGGTTTCATTTAGGGTCTCATTTAAGGTTTCTTTAGGGTTTCATTTAGAGTTTCTTTAGGGCTTCTCTAGGGTTTCATTTAGGGTTTCTTTAGGGTTTCATTCCAGGGTTTCTTATCAGGATTTCTTTTCACGATTTTTAAACATTAAAGTGGGTTCCTTCAGGCTCCTTTAGGCTTTCATTTAGGGTGTTATTTAGGGTGTCATTTAGGGTTTCTTTAAGGTTTCAGTTTGAGTTTCATTTAGGGTTTCATTTAGGGTTTCAATTTAGGGTTTCAGTTTTATTTAGGGTTTCTTTAGGTTTTCAATTTAGGGTTTCAGGTAAGGTGTCAGTTAAGGTTTCATTTAGTTTCTTTTTGTTCAAAGTGTTGTTTAGGGTTTCTTTGGGATGTCATTTAGGGTGTCATTTAAAGTTTTTCTAGGGTTTCATTTATGGTTTCTTTAGGATTAATTTATGGTTTCTTTAGGGTTCATTTATGGTTTCTTTAGGGTTCATTTAGGGCTTCATGTAGGGTTTCTTATCAGGATTTCTTTAGGGTTTCTTTGGGTTTCACGACCTAGGGTCTCTCTAGGGTTTCATTTAGGATACAAACAGAACAGAATAAAGCAAAAGAACATGAAAAAACAAAGAGACAGTAAAGACAGGAAGCAAAGAAGCAAAGGAGCAGGAAGTAGAGCAGCAAAAACACATGGCTGAAGAAAAGAAAAAGTAGAATAGTAGAAGTAGAAAGGCACAGAAGTACAAAAGCAGAGAAGCAGGGAAAACAGAGAAGCAGAAAAGCAAAGAAGCAGGAAAAGCAAAAAGCAGAACAGCAGAGAAGCAGGAAAAGCAGAGAAGCAATGTAAGCAGAGAAGCAGAAAAGCAAAGAAGCAGAAAAGCAGAGAAGCCGAAAAGCAGAAAATCAGAGAAACAGCAGAGAACCAGGAACCCCCAAAAAAATCCAAAACCTGCCGCGAAAAAAACAAAATAAATAACCCTCCATGTCAAAATCCATGTGCACCATCTTCCATTGCACTTCCCAAAGCTTTATCACACATCTTGACACAGAAATGACGGTCGCGAATTGGAAAAGAATCTCGGGGCTTGGACAGGGCTTCACAGGAGAGGGTCATGATGATCATGCAAAAAATGGAGGCTTCCAACCCATGAGGGTACCCAAAATCATCCAATTTTATGGTCGGATTGTCCATTCTAAACCATCCATAAATTGGGGGTAGCCGTATATTTCAGGAAACCTCCAAGTCAGTCGTTGATAGTTGGTAGATGTTGGTAGCTTCTTCTTTCGGAGAAGCCAGTCCCAACCATCCACCGCCTCCATCGTGGTGTCCAGTGCTGCTCGCATGTCCTGGTCACTTTGAACCATGGCTCTCAGGATTGGTTCTAGGGAGAAATGTTTCAGGAAAACCCTATATTTGATAGGGGAAGATCATGGTATCCTCGGGTATCCTGTAGATGTTCCCAACACATCCCAGTGCCGTCCTTCCCCAAGCGATATAGAAAAAAAACGGATGTTGCTGGGAACGGTCGTCTTTCCATGTGCCTAAACTTTTGCCACTGAAAGACAGGCAAAAAAAAAACAAGGACCATCAACACATACGTGTTTTCATGTTTAACCAATGATTGATTGTACTAAGGACATAACATAAACAAAACAAAATAACAAAAACAATTTAACAAATTTGTTATCCCAATTGGACACTTGGGATAAACAAACCGAGAAATGAATGATATCAGCTAGTGTCCGTAGAATCATATGTAATTATAGATTCCTCAGAATCATTCCTCTGCATGCACACCCTAAATCTAACATAATCAAACGTGGAAGCCCAAAAAAAATCTGCTGGATTTCCCGATGAAATGAGGAATTTGAGGCCCAAGTTTCATGGATCCGCGGTGAATCCGCAACTCCCAATATCGTCTTGGTTGAGCCCAAATTCATCTGTCCCTTTTCTGTCAATCCAATCCCCATTCCCAACAATATCCGTCCCCGGCAAAATTTCAACCTTATTTCCACTACAGTGTATCAATTCATTCTTGTATCAATTCCAATCGAAATTCTTCTTGCTTCACTATCTACAAATCACATCAAATCAGATCCCAAACACATCAAAAATCACACATTTTCTGGTTGGTGGTATACCTACCCCTCTGAAAAATACAAAAATATACAAAAATCAGTTGGGATGATAACATTCCCAATATATGGAAAGTCATAAAATTCATGTTCCAAACATTTCCAACCAGTTTTTTTGCTGGTGGAATCCCATGAAATCCCCGTGAAATCCACCAGAAATCTGGGTGGGATCTGGGCCTTCGCCAGTTGCCTCAGCACCTGCTGCTGCCCGCCGCGCCACTCCGTGCGCACCGCCGTGAGGACGGCACGACCCACCTTTTTTTGGGCACGACCCGAGGAGAAATGGTCAGCCATGCCCAGTGATTGTGGCTTAAGGTCAGTATATAGTTATATAGTATGCTATAGTATATATATATATATATGTATATATATATATACTGTATATATATATATAGATATATAAGTCTAGTATATACTATACATATATATATATACTGTAGTTGCATGTTATATTCACCATAAACCATGGTTCACCAAGTTATATTGCGTCAACATCTGTTTCGTTTGGGGAACCTCACCTTGTAGGGCTGAATATACCCATGGACAACTAGGCTAAGTGGGGTTGATAGGAGATACAACATCGACCAATAGTAAACCTCCATGTTGGAGGAAAAACAACACAACCCTTTGTCAGGTGATTTCAACTAATAAGTGAAAGGTGGCTGCCTTTTTAGTTACTGTTTGATGGATCTGTTAACAAAAAACTGGACATTCCGTTCTAGGATCATCCTGTATGTCCAAGAAAAGAGCAGTCTGTGATGTCAACAAAGAAATCACATCCAAGCAGCCAAACTCTTGGAAAATGCGTGGTCAATCATACTACTGGTATAGTTCTAGAACAGTCACTTGTACTAGCACATGCCCTATGTACTCTATGTACTCCTTTCACCAAGGTTTCATTGTTTGGTCCCACTGCTGAATTCAACCAATGTTCTTTCAACAAGTCATACCCTCCTGTAATTCAACATCATAGTTATGGAAGCATAGATTAAATATGGTTGTATAAATTATATTATATAAATTGCGAGCAAATCATTTAGCTATATACTAAACATTGTTATGTTCATTTGTTTTTCACTGCGCACTGCTAGTTTACTTGGTAGCTCATTCCACCAAGTGGGTGATACATGTCCCCAATTGTCATATGGAATAAGTATGGACCATATGGATAAGTAGGATTATGAGATTGATCCACAGTTGCTACTGGGTTTATAACAGTTTAATATCGTTTATAACCCACTTCACTTCCGATTCGTGGGATGAGCCACCAAGATCCACCATCATGCCAGGCCCGAGCACCGGAGTACCGTCCCGCAGCGTCCCGTTGCCTCGCCCACCCAAGCGCTGCGAGAGCCGCTGTCTCGGCTGTCTCGGCTGTCTCGGGGGGAGGGCCTGGATCTGCAGAACGGATCAAATTTGGGAGTAAGCCTAATTAGTTCTGATTTGGTTGTGGGTTAAAACCCTGTTACCTGTTACCTGGTAAATGGATGTTCATCCCTTCTAAATACAGTATGATAGGTTTTGACCCATTCCCATTTGTCGACAAAACCAAATGGCTATGAATCAAACCAAATGGGTATCTTCATGGACACAGAAAATGGCAGTGGTTATATTTTTTGGGTGATGGGTACAGGTCGGGATGGGTCAATAATATCTGTAAGACATGGCATTGAGGGGGTAAACGTCCATGGCTACCAGCTAGGTTGGTGTGAACACTTGGGCAGGGGACTCCGGGGACCCTGGTTTGGACCCCTGCCCCATCTCTTGAACCTGGAAACCCCATCAACAGCTGTGAAAAAATAAACCCCTCCACCGGTTTCTACCGGATCTACAGGTTTGCTGCCAAAGCAATCACTGATTCGTGAATGTCTGAACATGGTGTATACCAAATAGCTAATAGGATCCAATAGGACAATGAGTGGCGGAATCCAATTCATGACCATTTTGCACAGGGAAAATGATGCTCAACCAAGATCAACCATGGGAGAATTGGAGTTTTTCCCCAGATTTTTTGCTACGAAAGCTCTTGCTGCCGCGTCACTGCGGTGTTTTCTTGCTTAGAGGTGCGAGGTGAACATCGCCCCGCTCGGCCACCTGCTGGGATCCATTCTGGGATCCATGGAGTGACTCTCCGCAATCAGATATTTAAATAGGGGGTTCATGAAATATAGTGGTTTTGTATGGTTTAATCTGGTCTAAGGATGTCTAAGGTATCAAATGGCATTGGAAACCATCATGCAATTGTGTACAAAGAACCAAACAATGCATAGCTACCCATTTTTTCCACCACACAAAACCGTGAGTTTGACCGGGGACCGGGGGTAAACCTCAAGAACCCTTGAGACCAAAGACCATGACCATCCTGCCGCCACACCTTGGTGGTTGCTATACCAGTAGGACTCGGTAGGGTCCCGTGGCTGGGCGTGGTTGCATTACCATGACATGAGAATCAAGGATCGGTGGAACGCTCGAAGGGCGCCTTCTGAGCAAACAGTGACTTCATGTCCGAGTCCTTGCCGGCTGTGGTTTCTCACTTGGCTGGTACACGAGGGAGTACCACCAGTCATTGAGAAGCCTCAAAAATCTTGATATGTACATAGCTCGCATTTGTGGGAAACTCAGGCTTCTGGATAGAAGGAAGGCTTGGGGATATTTACATCCTGTACTTATATACATCCATAGATGATTTTCCCATGAAACATGGAAACTGTCCATTGTCATGTTTGATTACCAACTGGTGCTTCACATGTTGGGCCTTGCCTTCAGTGAGGCCCTGCAGTCTGTGAGAGCCTGCGTTTCTGTGAGGCCTTCCCTCCTGTGCCTTCTCTGAGACCTTGCCTTTGTTCATAATGTTGGACCCTCTGTGAGACTTTGCTTTCTGTGAGACCTTGCATTCCGTGAGGCCCTTCCTTCTCTGAGACCCTGCCTTTGTTCATAATGTTGGACCCTCTGTGAGGCCTTGCTTTCTGTGAGACCTTGCCTTCTGTGGGAGTTAGGCCTCAGTTCAACATGTGACACCTTGTGTTCTAAGAAACCATGCCTTTGTTTCAGATGTGAAAACATGCCTTGTGTGAGTCCCTGCTGTGAGTGACACACCTTGCTTTCTGTGAAGTTTTGCCCTCTGTGAGACTTTGCCTTCTGTGAGACCCTGGCTTCTGTGAGGCCTTGCCCTCTGTGAGGCCCTGGCTTCTGTGAGGCTTTGCCTTCTGTGAGACCCTGACTTGGTTTATTTTATGATACCCTGCCGTTTGTGAGACCCTGCCTTTGTTTAATGTGCTACATGTCTATAGATTGTACCTTGCTCCTAGTATAGACCAAATATAAAATCCTAAACTTCAGTTATGGAAGAGTGTCCAAAGCCGGTCCTGTCATTCTGCCGCCAACCAGAAAGTGAGCAAGAGCAGTTCACGTGTGGGAGCAGTAGAGGAGAGCAACAGTTCGGGAGCGTGTGATTTCACGGGGTGAAAACACCTTCAGGTGCGGAATCCATTGTTTCCCCCTGTCTATTGTGTGAGTTGAGACCCTGGCTTCTGTGAGGCCTTGTCTTCAGTGAGACCCTTCCTTCTCTGAGACCCTGCCTTTGTTCATAATGTTGGACCCTCTGTGAGGCCTTGCTTTCTGTGAGACCTTGCCTTCTGTGGGAGTTAGGCCTCAGTTCAACATGTGACACCTTGTGTTCTAAGAAACCATGCCTTTGTTTCAGATGTGAAAACATGCCTTGTGTGAGTCCCTGCTGTGAGTGACACACCTTGCTTTCTGTGAAGTTTTGCCCTCTGTGAGACTTGGCCTTCTGTGAGACCCTGGCTTCTGTGAGGCCCTGGCTTCTGTGAGGCCTTGCCCTCTGTGAGGCTTTGCCTTCTGTGAGGCCCTTCCTTCTGTGAGACCCTGACTTGGTTTATTTTATGATACCCTGCCGTCCGTGAGACCCTGCCTTTGTTTAATGGGCGAGACCCTGTCTCCTGTGAAGCCCTGCCTTTCTGTGAGACCCTGCCTTCCTTGATGTGTGAGACCCTGCCGTCTGTTTAATTTATATCGAAAACTGTGCTACATATCTATAGATTGTATCTTGCTCCTATCATTGGCCAAATATAAAACCCTAAAACTTCAGTTATGGAACAATGTCCAGGGCCGGTCTTGTCATTCTGCCGCCAACCAGAAAGTGAGCAAGAGCAGTTCGCGTGTGGGAGCAGTAGAGGAGAGCAACAGTT